GCGCTGGCGGCCGGCCCGGCCTCGGGTGGGTGATGCCGGAGGCACATCTCCGCCGAGTGACATTTAGGAGTCGGGACCGAGCCGAGCTGTGCTTGCCCGACTCGCTGCCGTTCCAGGCTCGAGTTTCCGCTCGGTCTGCCCTTTCTCGATCTCCGCCACCTCGTCTCTGGAATCCTAATGGGGCGGAGTGCTGGTAATCTCGAGGTGGCTCCTTCAGGCTTGTGTCGAGCCATCTGGGGCACCGGAAATACTGTTGGAGAGGCGAGATTAGGAGGAAAAGGGTCACGTGGCCGAGAGGATGGGGCACGCAGTGTAGACCACCTGTTTGCGCCAGGGACCAACTTTGGCCTGTCTCCGTGAGATGGCTATTTTTTTTTTTTTTAAAAAACATAAAAAATAACCAAGGAGAAATATGTTAAGCACTGAGTAATAAATTCGAGCCAAATGGATTTTATCACTTAAGTAAATTGTGATAGGATGTAGGCTCATCTAGAGGTGGACAGCATTTTCATCCCAGAACAACGTAAGAGTTTTATATAATAAGTGAAGCAGCTTCCTGAATTCGTATAATAGGAAAGAAATCGAACTTTGTTTTCCTAATGTGGGTGTTAAAAAATAAAGTCCCCTCTTTGTTTTCTAATAGCCTATTTTTCTGACTTGTATTCACACCATGAGACCCATTGCCATCTTTTTATGGCTGTCACTACTGTTACCAGGTCCTAGAGTGCCTCAAGTCCCATCAAAAGTGTGATTTTAAGCTTGCTGAATGGCTCCTATAATTGAAATTTGCACCTCCCTAAGACATTCCAAGCTATAACTATCTTCTCAGACTGAAAATTGTCATTTAAGGAAAAAATGACTTGAAGTGTATAAAATTTGTGTTAGTGTGTGGCAATGGTTTCGTTCCATTTTCAGAACGAAAAGTCTTAGCACCAAGATCATCTAATTTTAACATTTTGGGTTAGATGACACGAATATTTTGGAGTTCTAAAAAGATAATAAATTTTTGCTTATAATGTGTACTTTTCTAATCTTTTAGGGATTAGAATGTCTAGGCTTCACTTAGATGGGAATTCACTTTTACTTAGGCATCCTCTGGCTCACCACACATGTGACAACAAATTTTTAACTGTTATGTGTGCCCAGAAATAATGGAATTGCAACATGCACGGAATACTATTAAAGGCTATCCTTAGTGAATACGGTTGAGAACCAGTGACCTCTGAAAATGCATCTTTACTACGTCTGTTTTATTTCAGTGTCTGAGGTGTCCTTATTACTCCCCCCTTCCTCCTTTTTTTTGTCACTTAGGAACTGGAACTCCTTTTGTGATTTGCCTGTCCCCCAGAAGCTTTTGGATTTTTGGCTACCTTGATCCGAAGTTTTTTACTTCTTAGCAGTAACTTTCAAATTGGCAGCCTAGGTATAAACCAAAAGACTCCTCACGCTTCACTTGACCTTCCCCACAGAAAAAGAAACATAGCCTAGAGAAAGAAATCCTCAAGATTTGCTTAGAAGCCTTGGGGTTTTGAATGGTCAGCAGGATGCCCTTGTTGACCTTCGCTGAGGAAGGAAGTCTGTTTTTTGCCACCAATTTGGAATAACAGGTACACAAAGTCAGGGGCAACCTAGATTTATGATAATCCCCAGAGCTTTCAAACAAGGATTTGGTTCAAGAGTAAACCTCAGCTGTCACTTAATTTAGTATAAAGAATGAAAAGCATTGGCTTGCACGTGGAGAACACCACATTTTAATCTGCTGTAAATTTCTTTTCTTAATGATATGACTGCCGTCTGTAACTCGCCTCTTTGAGGCTCCTCATTCTTGCGTTTGTGAGGAGCATTTCTCTTATTCTGGGAGGTAAGCTTCCATTTGATCCTGTTATCCTTTCTAGCGCTTAGCTTCCAAAGTGGAGGTCAGTCCTCATTCAGCAGGCCACCTGGAATGCCAGCACTTAATGCAGGACTCTGCCAGATTTTATAGGGATTTTGAAAAGAAATAAGCCATGTGAAAATTAAATGCATTAACATTTTATAAGCAGCTTAAAGCAATATTTGGAACATATTAAGTGCTACATGTGTTTGTTAAATAATTGAGAATAAAATGGCTTCTTCATTTACTGTGAAACCTGTAAGGAACATTGGTTAATACATGAGAAATTTCTTGGTTTTTTATTTCCAAGAAAAATTTCTCTTGAGAAATATTTTACAGTTTTTCCCAATATAAATTAGCAGTTTACTCTGTTTACCTATTTGCCCAGCTTCCCAGGATGCCCAAAGTGAATATAATGCTTAACGCCAGCAATTTTAATAGCTTTTATGGCTGGTATGTTGCTTTTTATATTATCCTTTGTGCAGATTTTCTTTTTGTATTATTAACTTTCCAGTATATTTTGAAGGAGGAAGAATTTAACTCCTACCAACTTCTACCTCATTTAGGTTTAGGTTCCTGGATTTTGGAATAGGATTCAAAGCGTTTACAGTATAGAAAAATGGTATGTTTACTTAATTTTTCAATGTTCCCCCCATTATCTATTTTATTGAGATATTAATCTCATCACATATGGTCCAAGAATACACAAATAGTAAATGAAGTATAATCAGATGCATACAAACATCATAGTCAGTGGTACCAAGCTTGCCTATGATCTTGCCAAGATAAAACCACATCCACACCTCAGTGACCACCAAACTCTTCAGCAGAGCTTTCTTAGCGGTGAGCTGTTGGAAGCAACCAGCTTAAGCACTATTGGTTATTTTTTTTTTTTCAGGCTCTGAGTAGCTGTAGGGATCTCAGCAGGGGTTGGAGGAACATGTTCCACCTTGGCATAGAGCCAAAACATGGCCAGTGGAGGAAGTCAGTGTTTACCATTGCCAGAACCCGTCTCCACCAGATTATAGACAGATTGGGCCATGGTTCTAGGACCCTAAGCCCAACACCCCTTGGAATGCTTTTTTAAAAAATTGTTACCATCATCTTGAAAACTGCTTTGTGTGGGTCTCTTGATTTTGTAAATCAGTCGCTCCTTGTCTTGGCTCCCCTTCTTGTTTTCCACATGGGCTATTCCCTGAGACTGCATGTTTTGCACCTTTTCCACTTAGTTGCTTTCTTAAGAGCATATCCTTTGTCTTAGCTTTGACTCTTTTCTTTGAGTATGTAATACCTTACCTCACCTTCAGCCTCTATTCCTGTGTCTACATATAGCTGATAATGTCAAAATCAAATCTGTGCCTCAGCACAAAGCCTTTCTTTTCACTAATTTCAACCTATTGATTTTAAGGTCTCAATTTCAAAATAGCACTATTTTTATAGAACCAGTACGGACTGGAATCAACATCAGGCTGCATTGTGCCATTGAAGAACTTTAATTAACCTGAATGCCAAATTTTTCCTGACGTGGATATTTTTATCACACTGATACATCAGTACTTTACTTTTGTAAAGCCCAGAGTGTATAATATTTGTTAGTGAAGGATCTTGAGAAGGGGAGTTAATACTTTTTATTTTTCAGTAATAAAAGAAAGATAAGTAAAAAAGATTAGCATAATTGAAAAACAAGGAACTCATGTAGTATTATTCAAAATGGGTGACCCTGGAGAACATTATGCCGAGTAAAATATCTCAGGCACAAAAAGACAGATATTGCAAAGTGCCACTGTTGTAGAATGGGACTGACATCGGGGTTGGACTAAGACTGAGAAAAACTGGATAAATTATGTATACTGCATTGAAACAGATGAGGGAGAGAACAGTTTAAAAACAATATATGATAGGGTATTATGGTTATCACAGGAATCCAGAATTAAGGTTGCATAGTGGAGTGCATTGGGGTGGGGCAGGGGGGGTTTGTATACCAATGAAGGAGTTTGTCTTTTGCTTTTCTAAGAGAGGCGCGAAGGGGCGGGGGTAGAGAAAAAAATGCAACAGTGAATGAATGAAAATCCAAAATCTCTGTAAATGATCATTAAAATTAATAAAATGTAAAAAAGATTAGCATAGAAAAATAGCACGTATATGCTCTTTAGAAAAAATTCATACAAGGCTCAATATTGGAAATGCACCATTGATACAGCAGTGAGGCCATTTCCATCACATTAGCAAATAAGTTAAATCAATATGTAAAGAGTATGTCTTTGATAATAGGTGTTGAGGCGATGAACAAAAGGATCTGAACCTTCTCCTATTCTGCGCCATCCTCACCCTTCCTGACACACAAGAGCCCATCACAGCAATCGCTATGTTGATTGAGGGTCTTTTCTCTTCTTCACCAAACTTCCCCCTTCCCAGCATCATTTCCTTCTCCAAGGAATAGCACCTTCTAGTAATATACCCAAAGTATGTGAAGTGAAGCCTCATTATTCCTGCTTCCAAAGAGCACTCTGGCTGCACCCTCTCCAAGGCCTATCTGTTCTCGGCCGTCCGTGGGATGTTCAGTGCTCAACACCACAGCTCAAAGGCATGAATTCTTATCCTGTCATCCTTATTCATTGTCCAGCTCTCATATGCATAGCAAGTAATCAGAAAGACTGTGGCCCGAATCAGACACACCTTAGTCCTCAAACTTAAATCATTACTCCTCAATAGTTTGAAAAAACTGTGAACTGAACAATATAGGAAATAGGAATTCTTAACATTGCTAGTGCAACTATAACCAACTACTTTAGAAGACATTTGGTAATA